CATCATCATCATCATCATCATCATCATCATCATCATCATCATCATCATCATCATGGAGATAAGGTCTTATGTAGCTCCGGGTGGACTTTCTCTAAGCTATATGGTGAAGCTGGCCTTGAGCTCCTAATCTTCCTCCCTATCATGGGCATGTGTCACCGTCATCATGCCCAGCTGGAGTAGTTGCATATGTGCATGCATGTGGGAATACATGTTTGCAGGTATTTGTGCATGTAACCATGCTTTTAATTCTCATTCTCTCTCTCTGCCTGCCTGACAACTGTGTCTGTCTGTCTGCCTGCCTGCCTGTCTCTGTCTTTCTGTCTTTCTACCCTCACAAAGGTAATGACCGTAACCATTTTTGGACAGCCCGTTCTCCACCTGACATTGTTTCAAGCTTGGAGGCTCTGATGGTAGACTTCTGAAGCTCCTTGGAAGCCATCTTGGAATCTATAGCCACTGAGGAAATTTGGCCAACAAGCAGAATGAGAAGACAGTGCTAACTGCAAAGATGAAGCCGAAACAAAGTTCTTGTACCCAGGGACAGAGAGCTAGGCTGATCCTTCCCACTAAGCCATTTACATACTGAGTGTATGTCACATGTCACTCTGTATCTGCCCATGAAGACAGCCATCATCCTGGTATCCTTCATCCCTGACTCCTGGCCACTGGGGTGGCCCTGGCAGACCCCATCCCCACAGCCTTCTGCCTCTTTCGTTACAAAGCACAGTTTCTGCTTTCAGCCAAGTCTGGAAGCCACGTAGGCTATGCTCCCCTTAATCCAGTTAGAGGTAATAAAAATAATCAGTGCTACAGTGGAAGGTGTTCTGGGCTTCAGTGCATCCCCGAGGTTTCACAGACGGAGGTGTGAAGGTTGCAGGAAAGAAAGGAGGGAAGGAGGCAGGAGGAACTGTTTATCCGCACTGGGGCCGGCTTGGGCTGCGAGCGCAGACTTTAAGCACTCGCTTGCTTATCATCTAACATTCCACTTGCAGTCAGGCATCTGCTGCCTCCCCCGGGGAGCGAATGTGGAGATGTGCTTGTGCTGAAGCGTGCTGATGAAGGTTCATACCGGGCAACCTTTTGGGGATTGTATAGAAAGTGTGGCTTTGGAGAAGAGCGGCGAAACAAAGGATCTTTACTCCTGGAGAGATGCATTCTGCTGTTGAGCCTCCTCCAGGGAGAAGTGGATAATGTACCCCACTTTAGGGACTTGAGGCTCCAGGAAGTGCAGGTACTTAGCCTAGTTTGAAAGGGTACAGTGTCTCTTGTCACCAGGGCAGGGAGTATGGTGTGTCATTTTCCATTTGCATTTCAGACTGGCAATTTGTGCTACAATGAAGCATTTCAAACATATTGCTGAGAAGGTCCATAATGATAACGGATGAGGTAACATGCCAACGAAAGGTGTGTTGGATAGTTTTATCTCATAAAACTTTAGGTCACGTCATAACCTAAAGTCATCTGAGAAGAGGGAGCTTCAACTGAGAAAATACCTCCATATAAGATCAGGCTGCAGGCAAGCCAGCAGGGCATTTTCTTAATTAATGATTGACGGGAAGAGGGGGGCGGTATTCCCAGCCCATTGTGGGTGGGTTCATCCATGGGCTGGTGGTCCTGGGTTCTATAAGAAAGCAGGCTGAGCAAGTCATGAGGAGCAAGCTAGCCTCCATGGCCTCTGCATCAGCTCCTGCCTCCACATTCCTGCCCTGTGTGAGTTCCTGTCGTGACATCTTTAGATGGTGAACAGTGATATGGAAGTGTAACCCAAAAAATACCCTTTCCTCCTTAAGGTATTTGGGTCATGGAGTTTGATCCCAGCAATAGTAACCCAAACTAAGACAAGGAGTAAGGCCCTGAGAGGAATGAAAACTGGAACAGCTGAATCAGAGAGGTACACCAGAACTCAGAAACACAAGCTATAAAGTTCCTTTACATACTGGAACCCACAGGGCTTGAAGAAAATCACAAAAATCACAGCACCTACAGTACCCCACTTGCAGAGGCACTTGATTATCAAGGTGAACAAATGAAGTGAAATATTTCATGCTCTGCCCCTCCAATAACACCAACTGGAGTACATGCAGACTAGACACAGACTACTACAGAAGAGCTGAACAAGCCTGGAAGCCCTGGTAGAAACTGTCATCAGAGTGAGAGAAAGAAAAGTGAGAGGAGAGAGAGTAGCCGAAAGGGAAGACGAGAGAGTGGAGGAAAGAGCTCTATGCAAGCAGGCTCAACGTCAAATATCAGAGCTTTTAGAGAACAGGAACAAAGACCTGTTACTTTGCAAACAATCATCTCCTATGTTTGGTTATAATCTTTCCATTTCATATTGCTTCCTATTGTGGAGAGAGACTTCAAGGTTCCAAGAGAGAGAAAAAAAATCTGCTAAGAAAATCCTATTGGGTTATGGCTTTTAAATATTTATTTACTTTGGGAATCCCCAGAACTCAACGCAAACATTTGCCCCAGTGCCACAGCCTATACCTTTGTGTGTGTGTGTGTGTGTGTGTGTGTGTGTGTGTGTGTGTGTGTGT